TGTGTGTGTGTGTGTGTGTGTGTACGTACATATGTGTGTAAGGGATAATGTATAGTCAGGCAGTGACTGTTGAAAAATAACTCCCAACAGGGGAAGAGGGTGGGAGTGGATGAACCCAGTTAAAGAGTACCCGCCCGGCCGGGACGCTGTAAAACTAAGGCGAGCACGCCCACAAGGAGGCAGGGATCATTTCATTGGTCAACAGTAAATCTAGCATTCTATTGGTTGGGGGATTTTGACAGGGTTGTTACACAAAAAAATCCAAGCAAAGGGCAGAAATCTGAGAGCAGAAATTCCACAAGCACACAGAAACAGTTTGAGCACGAGGAGAAAAGCCGAAGCTCGAGCAGGAAATCTGTGCGAGCAAATGGTATCTGAGTGCAAGCAACATGGTATCTGAGTGCGAGCACACAGTCTGAGCAGAAACAGAGTAGATCCAAGTGCAAGCAGAGGCTATTTGAGTGTGAGGGCAGGGTTTTTGAATGTGAAATCAATAAATAATGCTCTCAAACTGATAGACCACTCTCTTGAATAAAGATAGGGATAAAGCTCCATACTTAGTCGAATAAAAATGGGACACATGCTCATGATTCACTGTTAAACAATATTTGCAGATTGAGAAGTGTCCAATTTAGCTGAGGGGACAGCTAAATGCTTGGAAAGCAGAGCTAAATGGTAAACAAACATGGCACCACACCGGTATGGTAACACGTTTACATGTCGTTTTCTATATGTTCTCAGACATTTATACTAACGATATGAGGTGGTCTTTGTGGAAAAAAAAGCTTGTTAATGGACTAACTTTGCACTTGAAGGTTGCCCGTTCACTTACGTTTTAACAGGTCTGACACTACTATGGGCCCCGGCTGTATCTAGGCTAACAGTTGAAACAAATTTAGGACGATAGGAGACAGGTTGAAATAAACCGAAATTTCCCTTTAAGGACTTTGAGTTACTTGCCTGTTTTTTTCAGCCTCATTAAAGCTTGCCTTGTTTCAAATCCACCTGCCTACTGCTTTGCATTTAGGTCGTTTTCTTAATTGATACATAACAAACAGAAGTCATTATAAAAATTATGATGTGTTGTATTCCGCATCATTACATTTATTTTGGCTTTCTGTGCCTGTGTAGCCTCCCAGCTCTGTCACTGTGTCATCTTTAGTGGTATCACCACCAGGATCAGCATCATTCTCTGCATCACCCACAGCACCGACAGGGACACATGGGAAACCTCATAATCCCAGTTTGACTTTTGAACGGGTAAGTAATGATTATCTTGCTATGTATGAATTTTTATTATTATATCAATAAATGCACAACTTACAAGGCTCACTTTAGGTTACTTTTTTAAGGCTTTTTTCTTTCAGGGTACAAAGCCATTGATTGGCTGGTCTCATGTTGCTGCTTTAAAGCAAAACTTAAGTTTGTCTGGACAGCATGGAATCAAGGTAATGTATGAAGTATGACAGAGCTCGAATTCGATTTGAGATTACACTGTTGTCCTTTTCATGCCGGGTTAGCTACAGTGGGATTTTCATTCCATAAAGATATGTTGAAATGTCTTCATTACTGTAATGCCTATTATTTATTTTTGATGATGCACCATTGATGATAATTTTGTTTTATAATGTTGTTAACTATGCTCTTATTCTCTCAGTCCATCAGTAGCATTCTTGACTCCTCTGCCATGTCCAGCACCAGTACAAGTGCAATGGCAGGGAGGGCAGCATCACCTGCTCACAGTCACAGGACATCTATTCAGACTGTCTCACTTCTGTCTCGTCTCAGTCTCCTGTGTCCACAACAACCGCCCCCTCCTCTGTTTCATTGGCTGCTGCTAGAGCTTTTGCTAAAACTCTTTAAGTTGCTGTCTTCACGCTGATATATTGCTAAACTTCAAAGAAGCATGCTTCACAACACGAGTGGCTTGAAAGCATCTCTTTATGTTTGCCTTTTCAAAAAATGTATAAACAAGGAATTGTTGGTTATCTCCTCTGGTATGCCCTTTTCTCCTCTCATCCCTGTTTTCTGCATCTGCAAACTCTTATGCAGTCTCCTCTGCTTCACCACCCATCATCCCAGCAGGACCTCACCAACAGCTGGTAGTATTTTGTCATGTGATTTATCATAATCTGTTTTACTTTGGGTACAGTGTGGATTTTATTTATATTGTATTTTCATTTTTTTTTTTTTTTTTTTTTTTAAACAAAGTTTGGATAAGTGGACCAGAGTGTCCTCTGTCACTACCAGCTCTGCCGTCTTTCCCCTTTCCACCACTCTCACAACCACTGCCTCTGCTGCTGCAGTGTCTGCTCCCTCTGGATCTGGCTACTTAAGGAAGTCTTACCTTTAGTTAACACTCACATATTAGACATGATCAATATATCTTTATTAACAGGCTATGTACCACAGTCCACCTCCAGAGGTGTTAGCTAACTATAGACCAATTTCTGATCTTCCCTTTCTTTCAAAGATCCTTGAGAAAGTAGTCGCAGACAAGCTGTGTGACTTTCTCCATGATGATAATTTATTGAGGAATTTCAGTCAGGATTAAGAGTGCATCATAGCACCGAGACAGCACTAGTTAAAATTACAAATGATCTTCTGATTGCTTCAGACAAAGGACTCGTCTCTGTACTTGTTTTATTAGATCTTAGTGCAGCATTTGACACAATTGGCCATCAAATTCTGCTAGAGACTGAAACATTTAATTGGCCTAAAAGGTTCTGCACTAAGCTGGTTTAAAAAAAAAAAATGCTGTTGCATCTTTATGATATCTCTAATGTCTGCGTTCTGTTTTACAACCAGGTTCACTGGAACCCGAGTATGGTGATCAATCACATGGAGACTACGGAAGTGGTTTTCCCCTCCACTGCCATCGCTGGTGTTTTTTCGCCTCGGGGCTCTATGGGCTGGTCATTCAGGATTTTTTTCCCTGATACAGGGTTTTTCGCCTGAATTTGCAGTGAAACTTCCTTGAGAGAAAATTTCTTGAGTGAAATAAAGTGTCTGTAAGGTGCATTGAATCTGATTGTTTTACAGTATTGACGTTTGTAAATCATAAAGTTTGACTGATTCAGAAGTTTGCTAAAAGTGTGTAAATGAATAAAATGTGATTAATATTGATTTCCCCTTCTGTGAAGCCGTAAGTTTACATAGGTTTGAATATCTTTATGAAGCATTTTTTGGGTGTTTATGACTTGGTGTGGAGGATGTCTGCTGAAGGCCTGAAAGGTCCTGGAACGGGTCCTTGCTCTGAGTCTTTTTATTTTTAAGTCTTGTTGTGTTAAGTGAAAGTAAAAGTAAGACTAAGTGTTTGTTTTTCATTGTGTTCAGTTTTCTCCATAATCTTTGAACTATGGAAGGGGGAAATCTGTAGTGGTTTATAATACATAACATAACATAATCACGTAACAGGGTCAGTTATAATATTACTTTTCTATTTCTATTCACTCTTCCGTTATTCTCATCTTGATATTGCTTAAGAGAGGTCACATCGACCTAAGAGGATGTCGCAATGCATGGAATGTGATACCTGAGTGTGTGATGTTAAGAGTCGACCACCGAATGTTACCTGATTAGGAAACAATGTCCCAACTAGAGATAGGAGGTGGAAGATCGAATGAGGACACAAGCAGAGACTGGTCTGAGTCTCTCCGCTTCTCCTCTTCTCTTCATCATATCATCTAACACTGCTCTGTTGTTCAAACCTGCAGGTGAGATGTACTTTGTTCCAACCAGAGTTCCAAATGTACCATCATTGAATACATAATAAATGCATTATTAAACTATATTAATTGGTCTGTCATTATTATCTGCCACCACATAATCTTAATACGATAGAGAGCAAACATCACATTTTAGTGTGGCCTTGCCAAGGCCCACCTGTGCAGTAATGATGCTGTTTAATGCATCTTGATATGACACACCTGTCAGGTGGATGGATTATCTTGGAAAAGGAGAAGATGGAGTAACAAGCATATATTTTTTGTGTTGCGTTGATGGAGTTTCCAAAAAAAAAAAAAAAACAAATGAAGAAAATATATCAGCTCAGCCAAATAATGTATCCCAATAATAAGACTTTCTTACACTGAGAAGATCTTACATTATGTTGAACTGTGGTTCAAACTTGGGCGTGAACCTGGCTCAGAGAGACCAAAGACTGAACATAGAAAGAAATCAGACAAAGGGAAACACCCAAGTTTAAATCAGCAAGTGTGCTGGTTTATTAAGCAGAGTTAAAGTTTAAATGTCTTCCTTTCCAGTTGCTTAAAACAAGTGAAAACACAATTAAAAATGTAAGGGTTCAAAATGTCCAAGTTGGATTTGTCTAACTCTAGTTTGTCTAAGTCTAGTTCAAACTGTTCTTGAAGTCCATTCAACTGGGTAATCATGTCATAACTTATCTACTAATTAAATGTGTCCTGTTTTGTTTACCACATCACATGCAATGCTGTGCTTGCCCTCCTCAGCTTATGCTTGGTTAAAAACTAGGTTTTGTTTTTTTTACTGTTGGTTCCCATTTTGATGGATGGAGATGGCAGCAAAATCAACTTTTTGGGCATTCAAAACAGATTCATGAAAGGCCAATGCAGGGAAAAACAACCTGTTGACATGCATAAAGTCACTGTAAATCGCAGGTACAGTTTTGTTGGCCTTTTTTCACTGGTAGCCCAGTCCATGTCGACTCAAGTGGCAAAAGAGAGGGATGGTGATAGACAGACAAATAAACTGTAAACAAAGAAGAAAGAAAAATATAGTTTAACTATTATGAAACAATGGTTTTCAAAGACATAAAACATAAAAAAATGGATAAAACTATCGAACAAAGAATATACTGCAGGCTACTTTGCGCTTGCTTTAAACTTAAGATCAGTGACACATACTAATGCTAGCTATAGAACATAGGGTAAGATGGGGGAAGAAGCCTTCTTCAGAACAAAGTCATACTGTAAAATGAAAAAAAATGGATGTGATTTTAGCACGTGCAGAATTATGATACATAATCCAACACACTGTTGTAAGAAATAAATTGGTAGAGTGGCCAATTTTGTTGTTATAGCACAAAAATGAAAATCTGATAAAGGGTCATCTTACCCAACTATTGACCTGCCCAGGGCAAAGAACCCCCGAGCTCAAAATGAGCTATCTAACTAAATGAAACAGACTAAAATCCCATCCCTTACTCATTAATGGATAATCCAGACACCTTGTAGCCTTTCATTCAGGCTAATTGATTTTAATTTAAAAAAAAAAAAATATATATATATATATACAGTACAGGCCAAAAGTTTGGACACACCTTCTCATTCAATGCGTTTTCTTTATTTTCATGACTATTTACATTGTAGATTCTCACTGAAGGCATCAAAACTATGAATGAACACATGTGGAGTTATGTACTTAACAAAAAAAGGTGAAATAACTGAAAACATGTTTTATATTCTAGTTTCTTCAAAATAGCCACCCTTTGCTCTGATTACTGCTTTGCACACTCTTGGCATTCTCTCGATGAGCTTCAAGAGGTAGTCACCTGAAATGGTTTCCACTTCACAGGTGTGCCTTATCAGGGTTAATTAGTGGAATTTCTTGCTTTATCAATGGGGTTGGGACCATCAGTTGTGTTGTGCAGAAGTCAGGTTAATACACAGCCGACAGCCCTATTGGACAACTGTTAAAATTCATATTATGGCAAGAACCAATCAGCTAACTAAAGAAAAACGAGTGGCCATCATTACTTTAAGAAATGAAGGTCAGTCAGTCCGGAAAATTGCAAAAACTTTAAATGTGTCCCCAAGTGGAGTCGCAAAAACCATCAAGCGCTACAACGAAACTGGCACACATGAGGACCGACCCAGGAAAGGAAGACCAAGAGTCACCTCTGCTTCTGAGGATAAGTTCATCCGAGTCACCAGCCTCAGAAATGGCAAGTTAACAGCAGCTCAGATCAGAGACCAGATGAATGCCACACAGAGTTCTAGCAGCAGACCCATCTCTAGAACAACTGTTAAGAGGAGACTGCGCCAATCAGGCCTTCATGGTCAAATAGCTGCTAGGAAACCACTGCTAAGGAGAGGCAACAAGCAGAAGAGATTTGTTTGGGCCAAGAAACACAAGGAATGGACATTAGACCAGTGGAAATCTGTGCTTTGGTCTGATGAGTCCAAATTTGAGATCTTTGGTTCCAACTGCCGTGTCTTTGTGAGACGCAGAAAAGGTGAACGGATGGATTCCACATGCCTGGTTCCCACTGTGAAGCATGGAGGAGGAGGTGTGATGGTGTGGGGGTGTTTTGCTGGTGACACTGTTGGGGATTTATTCAAAATTGAAGGCACACTGAACCAGCATGGCTACCACAGCATCCTGCAGCGACATGCCATCCCATCCGGTTTGCGTTTAGTTGGACGATCATTTATTTTTCAACAGGACAATGACCCCAAACACACCTCCAGGCTGTGTAAGGGCTATTTGACCAAGAAGGAGAGTGATGGAGTGCTGCGGCAGATGACCTGGCCTCCACAGTCACCGGACCTGAACCCAATCGAGATGGTTTGGGGTGAGCTGGACCGCAGAGTGAAGGCAAAGGGGCCAACAAGTGCTAAACACCTCTGGGAACTCCTTCAAGACTGTTGGAAAACCATTTCAGGTGACTACCTCTTGAAGCTCATCAAGAGAATGCCAAGAGTGTGCAAAGCAGTAATCACAGCAAAGGGTGGCTATTTTGAAGAAACTAGAATATAAAACATGTTTTCAGTTATTTCACCTTTTTTTGTTAAGTACATAACTCCACATGTGTTCATTCATAGTTTTGATGCCTTTAGTGAGAATCTACAATGTAAATAGTCATGAAAATAAAGAAAACGCATTGAATGAGAAGGTGTGTCCAAACTTTTGGCCTGTACTGTATATTTTTTAAATACTTTATTAATCTCCTGAGGGGACATTTCAGGGTGTCTTCCTTCAGCCAGCTTGCATATATTGGATAATTCTAGATAGCTCACAATTCTAATGATTGATAGCTAGCTAACAGCATTAGCAAGCTGTTAAAACTACATACTGCTATATGTAGATACGTATGTATTTTATGAACACATACTAGATAGTCTAACTAAATAATAGCTCAGAAGGTAGAGTGGGTCGTCCACTAATTGCAAGATTGTCGGTTTTATCCTCAGCTCCTCCAGTCTGCATGGCGAAGTAACCTTGGGCAAGATACTGATCCCCAAATTGCTTCCAATGGCCGTTCCACTGGTGTGTGAGTGCGTGTGAATGGTTATTGTGTAGTAGGTGGCACCATGTATGGTAGGTCCGGCCACCAGTGTGTGACTGTGTGTGTGAATGGGTGAATGTGACTTGTAGTGTAAAAATTGCTTTTAGTGGTCAGAAGATTAAAAAAAGCGCCATGTAAGTGCAGTCCATTCTTCCAGTGACAAAAAATTTGATCAGTTTACCCTACAATGGTTCTGGTGGAATAAATCTCAAGAATTCAGCGATTCAGATGACATGCCACAATTCACTACAGCACAGCCATGGCGAGAATAGATGTAGTGCTGTAAATTAATTAGGAGAGGAATGAAGGGGTTGGGGAATCGTATCCCATGGAATATCTTTCCCCATCTTACTCTGAGCCACTGTGCAAACGTGACATCTTAGAGATGTCCTCATTGATATTTTCATATTAACAATAGGTCAAATGACTATGTGAAATATTAAAGGGGTTGCTCATACTGACGAACCAACAGACAGAATTATCACCTGAAACCCTGCAGTGTCCCGCAACTGTATAAAGTTTAGTACGTGTCAGCTGACTGTTTTGGTTTTACGCACAGCAAATTTATTGTTTGGTCCACACTCACAGCCCTGATCAACATCACTTCAACAAAAAAAACTTTGGTAAAGCCACAGCACACTCCCTGCCTAGCATGAAACAGCAAACTGACAGTTAGAGACTAGCTAATGCAGCTGAAGAGACAGATATTTGAGGTGGTAGAGACCAAAAATCGAACTAACAGAGAGTGAATATTGTACATCGATTAGACAGGCATAAACATGACTCTAAATGAACACTGGCTAACATGTTCTCAATGATGGCTCAAAGAATATAGTCACTAGCTAGTTGGCTTAAAATCAATAGTTCTAATACATAAAAGTGTGCAGCGATTTATAGCCATTGCTTTGCAGAGCTAATGGCTTCCCAAATGGCAGTCGGTGGTACTACCGACCCACAGATTGAATTATCCTTTGTGAGCCCGATAATGGGTAAATGTACTGTACCTGTATGATAAACATTGTGACAACACCTGCACCTGTGCTGAGATAGTTTCTGGCAAACCAGTTTCTCAGTTTCAAAAGACAACCCTGGAAGACAAAATTTGTATGGTTATCCTTTGTTTATACATGCACATGTACTGCTATGCACTGTCTTAAAGGAAATGGCCACTTTAGAATGAAAATACAGACAGTACTTACTGACCCTCATGCCAACAAGAATTCCAGTGTAGTTTTTTAATCAACAAAACTCGTTTGGGGTATCGGAGGATAGTCTCGCGCGAGTTGCCACGTAAACACAGCACGCCTGCAGGGCAGGCTAACTGACCATGATGAGAAATGATGCTATAAAAGTGGAGTAAATTACGTCTTTTGCATGCCACGGCTTCAGGGCACTTGGATTAAGACAAACTTGCCGTTCTGACGTTTCTGAAATGTATTTGCGGAATTTTATTACATTTTCAAAATGTGGGTTCCATGCACTTCAAGTGTAGCTGTTATTCCAGCTAGCTGTTACCCTCCGATTCCCCAAACAAGTTTTTTGGATTAAAAAACTACACTGGACTTATTGTCGACATGAGGGTCAGTAAGTACTGTCTGTATTTTCATTCTAAAGTGGCCATTTCCTTTAAAGAATAATACCAGATGAACAGGATGAAATAAGTTAAGGACAAGTAGTGGACGTTTATTGGGATGTCTTAAGCACTATTCGGATGGGATTAGTTTTACCTGGGCACGTGGGGTAATGTCACTTTACCACAGGACGTCAGTAATATTAATGGCCGATTCGCACGGGATAAGAAATATCAGTAAAACTACAATTGGGAGGGGTAAATCCATTCATGCACCTCCGTCCCCTCCTGCCGTCATGTGCGTATGATAGAACTGTCAAAAGCACCATGAAATTGAGTTCGAATATTTTCGGATTAATTTAGTAGAGTTCGAATAATATTAGAATTTATTATTATTATTATTTTATTTTTTATTTTTATTTTTTTACAAAAAAACCCACAAAAAATAAGATGCTTATTGCTGGCGCAATATGAACGTGACACTCGGATGAAAACACCCGTTCTGACCTCACTATAGTGCCAGGTATGACCAACTTCTGCCTCGCTATCTGAGCAATGTTTGGATACTTCAGTGCGTAGTTTTCCACCACAAGAGTGGATCCTGGTCGGCTCGTAGTGGTGTCTCATTCTGGTAACGTTTCATCTCCTCTTCAAAAAGGGTAGGCAGGGAGGCAGCAGGTGCAACACTCTCCCTGTATGTCTCCCCGAACAGGTCACACATCGCAGACAGTGCAGTGGGTGGTGCTGGCGCAGCGGGCTCCTCCGTCGGCGCCTCTCCCTCCATCGCTGCGTCCCTCTCTGGCCTGGCTTGTGCGCGAGCCATCTCTGCCCAAATGGGATTCGCCATGATATACAACATTATTGATAGTATTAATTAATTATTAATGATATTCGAATTATCAAATTTAGGTTCAAACCCATATTTACTGCTGGTCTATTCGCACGGGATTCGTATTACCTGAGATTATTTTCCGGGACCCTTTTACAGAAGGTAAAAGTCGCGGTAATCTTTACTGACATCGTGCGGTAATGATTACTGACATGGCACATTCGGACGGGACTAAAATCTCTGGTAATTATTACTTTACCCCATGTCCCTATGTAAAACTAATCCCGTCCGAATAGGGCTTACGTTGCAGAGCAGAAAGCATGTTTTGATTGTAGAATATTGAGGCATTTTATCATGTAATATGCAATTGTGTGTACTTTAATTATCTCCAGTAATGAACTTAAGAACAAATGCAAACTGTTTCTGAAAAACAAAACCAGAATCTGGCTGTGAGTCTGAACATATGAGGGACCACAGAGTATTGTGTGTCTATTTGGAGATCCTTTTGAGAAGCAAAGTGAGAGTAACCTCTTGCCAGTCGGTGTGAGGGAGGTTGTTACAGGGGTCCTTGCTACAACAGGAGATTGGCACATTACCCTTCCAGTCTGCCACGCCATGAACTCCACAGCACCTAAACTGTACAAAAAAAAACTACTTCACTGAAATGAACATGTATGTCAGTTGAGCACGGTAAAGGAAATGACTAAAGGTTCTTGCACACTGAGGCCATTTTTTTTGTCTTGTCTGAAATTGTTGCACATCAAAAAATAAACATGACCCCATGTTGTGTCAATCACAAAACTTCTCCGGAACTTTTGTCTGTCAGAGTTTTAAGAACAGGTTATATTTTCTGTGTGTTTTCGTATTTAGAATTGTTTGACCAAGAAGCAGTTAAGAAAATGTGGCAGTGGGACACCTCCACAACAGTAGAGAAGAACAGATCGCACAATAGCCTTTCAATCAATCACTTCAATCAATTTTAGGTCCAATATCACAAATAACAATTTAGTGTGCAAAGGCCTTAACACTTCAATCTACATAAGGGTGTGTAAAATATCTGCCGTAAAACACATTCATACGACAGTGCACTCAGTAGAGTGCAGAATTCCACCAGGTGGTCAAGCAGCTGCCCAGGCTGATTGCGACCACTGTAGACCATTCTTGCAATTCCAGCAGACGTGCCACAACGCGTTTCAGAACTGTCCCAGAAGCTACTAAAAATGTGCCACTCCTCTAGTTTTGATAGAGCAGTTCGAGTTTTCCTTCAAGGCACTGTATGTGAAATATACAATAGATACAGTATGATTATGGGGATGAATGTATTTTTAATAACTAAAACACAGACAAAAATCTTTGATCCATGTCAGTCATAACTGGACTTTTATTTACTTCGTCTGTAGGCTACAGTGCAACAAGGCAGGAAAAAAAACACCAAATCAACACATCTAAAATAGACAAAAAACAGACTACAACTACAAACCTGCTTACTTACTTATGGTAGAAGCACAAATACCAAGAAAAATTTTAAAATCAACAAAATCTGCAAGTCTATAAAGTCAGGCCTCCAAAAGACTGCTACTGAAACCCTCCCAGTGTGCTATGGCGTTGTGTGGAGAACAGAAGAAAACTGGATCACAGCTATGGCAGCCAGAATGCAGTGCAGGTGTGCCTGGTGGAATGCCTAACTTTAGTGGGTATGGAATTAATCTGCAAGCTCCAGTTCAAAATGAGACCAAACTTCTATGGATGTTGGTTTTGGAGCCACAACAAAGACCAAAATATGGCCTGCACCAGAAAATAAGATTTGTTGTTTTAGCTGAGCCAGTTTCTGGAAACCTGGCTGTGGGCAAGTTTGAAGGGAGTGAGGAGTCTGCAGTCAGTGATAGTATCCACCTTATTTTTCACGGAAACACGGAGGCAAAACAGAATGCAGCCAGCTTCCGTTTTTTTATGCGACACTTCCGGTCCAGCACTCTTACCATTGTGTAAATGGGAATCGCCTTGTTGTTTACCTTGCTGAGTTTAGCTCTATATATGTATATATCACATTTTTCACGTCACTATATCACCGTTTAGACTAATCTGATGTTTGTAAAGTCTACAAACACAATGACTGAACAAACATTGGTATTTTCTGTGTGTGTAATTAATAACATGGTTATCGTAGATTAGCTGGGCTAACCGTTAGCTGTTAGCCGTTAGCGGTGTCTGTAACTCAATAACTCAATAAACGGTCCGTGAAAAAAATTATTTTTGCCAGCGGATGTCTTAGTTACAACATGATTGAGCTAATTGGAGTAGTTTCATGTCATATCCGACAACGGGAGGCTTTTAATGGATGACGATCCTGATGTTAGCTTTGCTGCTAGTGTTAACGTTAGCTGTCCCTGTCAGCTGCAGCCACTGATGCTTTCTAGACATCATGATTTCCCAAAACTGAATAAATACCACACACAGCAACACAAAACTGCTTTGCTAGCTCAATCATGTTGTAACGGCTGGATGGTTGATGCGTACATGCTGATTCAGGTGCTATCAGAGCCGATCCGCGCATCACTATGGCTTAATGACCAACTCAGTCAATTAAAATAACCCGTCCTGTGTTAGGAGTGTATGGCGCTGACAGACAGAAAGAATGAAAGAAAAGGGAAAAAAAAGACAGAAAAGCAGCGTACACCTCACATATTTATTTCTCACAGTTGCACACATGTTTGGCTGGCATGCAGAAGCACCGTCTGTGTGTCGAGGGTGTGAGCCGCAGCTTCAGCTGCTCGGGTAGAGAGGCTGTGTAGCCCGGTGTGTTTTTTCGCTGATTCGGTTCTGCAGGTTCTCTGCTGGTACACTGGAGACGGGGATCAAGCAGTTTGTCTCACTCGGGATAGATTGTGCTTTTTTGGTTCATAGTTTATGACGTGCGATTTATTCGCGTTTAGAGGGAATAAATTTCCGTTATAACGGAAACGTGGGCACAGTTATCTATACAAAATAAACAGACTAACTAACTAACTAACTGATTGACTAACATAAACAACTGAAAATTGAAAAAAAATTAGCTTGCACCGTTAGCTCCGGTAAGGGAAAGCATGAGGGAAAGCGGCTGACGGGAAGTCACGCACAAAAAACGGAAGTTGATCACTATTTACTTCCGTGTTTGAAAATAAGGTGGATAAAACAGTCAATACTTTGAGGTCCCTGAGAACACAGTTATAACTGTGCACACACAACATTAGGCTAATTGGTTCAGTAGTATTCAAGATTAGCTTTGGACAGACAGATACACACACTCACACATGCACAGACACACAAGGACACACATGACCAGACATATGATCCCCTCCAGTCTTTTGCCTTGCAGAAATAATAAAGAATAGGGGACTCTTCTGAATATAAATAGCAATAGAGTTCACTCCAGATTGATAAACAGAGCAGCAAATCATTTACCAGGTGCTGGACAGCATCAAAGTCCTCTTTAATGGTCTTGTTGCTTTCTGGACTAGACTGTCTGTAGATCTCCAAGCTTCGCATCAGGTCATTCTCAAAGTATGTGTCAATCTGCACAACAGACAGGCAAGCTACATTATATGCAGTACTACTGTACATTAAAGACAATGGCCTCAAGTTTCATGGCAGTATGTGCTGATGGACAGACCAGCCACGGTTTGTGCAAGGCTGGTGGTGACAAGACTGAATGACAAAGTGTGTTAGGTGGGTTCTCTCTCTACCAGCTATAAGCTACTAATGTCATGAACTTCATAGTTTGACAGAAGTTCACTCAGTAAATCTTACTTTGAAAAACTCTGTCAACCAAGCTGTTTAAAGGAAAACTGTTTCAAAGGGGTACCATATCAATCAATTTAACACCTCAAAATAACATTCTATAAATGTATTGTTATATAGGCTGTACAAACACTCTCCCACCTCTCTGCTGTAGACTAGGAACACGCAGGCCATGGCCAGCTCCACCAGCATCAGGATGAACAGCAGAATGAAAAACTGCAATCAATGCATATCACTTTCAAACATGAGTGAATTTGTATGATTAGTGCTTTCATGTGCCACATATGTATATCTAGGCTAATGTTTTTAGAAGAATCATGGCAACATCACATTCAGTTTAGTGCAGTAACATACAGCTGTCACATTTACTATTTAATACCATAAATCACATTATAATGATTTCATGTTTCATACTCACACTGATGAGCATGCAGCGATTCTCCTTCATGCCTCCTAACACTCCCAAATAGCACACACAGGTAACAATGGTACCGGTGACCACCAGAGTATTGGCGGGGTAGATGGGCCAGAAGGTGGTGACGAGGGAGGCAAACTTGGAGTGAATCATCTGGAACTCTCCGAACGCTACCACAAATGCCCCACACAGCTCCAAAACAGACAGGAGACACACAAGACACCTGATGTTATTATTCTGGGTACGTGATTTTAGGTTTGACTACACTCTGAAAGCCAGCATAATAACAATGACACTTTCAAACCTCATCAAGGTCATTGATGATATTTCCCCAAGACAACCTATTTTGGCCATTATATAATAAAAGGGTATATGATCGATCAATCAATCAATCAATCAATCAATCAATCACATGAAATCATATAAAATACAATTCCAGTGAAATGTCATCCTGTCAGTTTCCTCAGTTTGTGCATTAAAAAAAAAAACAACTGTGATAATGAAAATAAGATAATGCTGTCTTCCACCATTTTCACACTGGACACAGGAGCACCCTGATATCAATCAATCAATTTTATTTATAAAGCCCAATATCACAAATCACAATTTGCCTCAGAGGGCTTTACAGCATATGACATCCCTCTGTCCTTAGCACCCTCGCAGCTGATAAGGAAAAACTCCCCCCCAAAAAACCTTTAACGGGGGAAAAAAAATGGTAGAAACCCACGCAAGAGCAACTGAGGAGGGATCCCTCTTCCAGGATGGACAGACGTGCAATAACTGTCAACAGATCAACATGATAATTTAACAGTAATCCGTATGACACAAAAAGACAGAAAGAGAGACAGAGACAGAGAGAGATGCAGGACAGACGGTAATGATAATAGCTCACAACAACATTAATTAAAGTAATTATATTATAATAATAATTATGGCTATTGTGGTACATAATGTTAAAAGTATATATTAATATCTGATAGTATACATATGTGACAATAATCATATGTATATAATAACAGTAGAAGTATAACTAATGATAACAGCAGCAGGAGGCATCTGGCAGGACCACAGTAGCAGCACAACCTCACACATCACACTATCCAGGCACTGCTGCGATATAAGTTAACCTGCGAGACAGTGGAGCACAAAGGCTCTGGAGAAGAAGCTGAGTTAGTGACATGCAGTACAACTAAGTATGCGAGATGCAGTAACAGGACATGAATGTTAGCAAAGGAGAGAAAGAGAGAGAAATGTGTGATGGAAAATTCTGGTATTTAAACACCTTTAATCTATAATGTGTTGTATAAGGTTACTTGTTTTGATGAAACTGAACTTCTAACCTAATGATGTGTGGTGCTCATTTAACCCCTACTGTGACAGCAGTGAGACACCAAGGTCACGAGCCAGGGAGGCTCAGACACCAAGATTATGAGCCAGGGAGCACAACAAGTGTCCTTGTTAGTCTCAAGAGATGTTGTGTTTTAGGAATGTCAAGGCGCCACATATTGTGACTGTTGATGTGCATGTGTTATGGGAACTATAAAGACAGCAGGGCGAGAAGACTTGCTAGGCACTCTTACTGACTGACTGTTCATGTGGTTGTATGTGTGAGTGTCTCCATTCATGAATGCTAATTAAAACTCAAGAAAGACAGCCGACGTGTGAAGACTTTTTCTTTAAACTGTTCATTAAATAGTAATTTTGCCACCACAAAATTGGTGACCACGAAGGGACCTCATCTGTGAGCGGATTCTGGAATTCTGGACTGAAGGTGTGAAGACTGTGCACACCTGACGGCATTCAGGTGAGGAGAGTGAATGAAATTAAGGAAAGTTCTACTTTTTTTCCAAAACACTGAGGGACAGTTTGTGTGTGAGTGGAAGATAGATCTCCCTCCCTCTGTTTTGCTGCAGCTCTCAGACACACACACACACACACACACACACACACACAAACACACACACGCTGACGTCACATGCCTGCACTGCTCGGCACACATGGTTCCTATGTCACATACTGACCGTGGTTATGAGGACATCTGGTGTAGTACAGGACAGGAAAATGACAGGTTACAGCTAGATTGGTTGTATTGGAATGACGTTAATTGTGCTGTCTCGGTGAAACTTCCTGATTGATTGCATGAGTTGATTTTGTCACAAAACTCTGATCCACACATCTCACTGGTAAATCCCAACCGCGCAGACCTGGGTCTGTGGGTGCGGGAGCTGAACGCTACTCCATGCTGGAAGTCTACAACTGATCCTCATATTGATTTTAATGAGGAAATGAGGGTGTACAGAAAGAAACGAAATTGTGCCATTGAGACTTCCCGTTCAGCCGTGTTTGCAGACAAGACTGGGTTTTGATACTGACATGTGCATGGTTAAATCTGTTGCATACATCCCAGAGCTACAGCAGGTTCCCACTTATCTCTGGGCTAAAAGTAAACATGATGTGCCCTGTGAGGCAAACTGTGATTTGTGATATTGGGCTTTACAAATAAAATTGACCTATTGGTTGATGTTGGTCTGATAAAACAACTGCGAGCCTGTGATAATAACACCTAAATCAGACAACAGACCATGTCGTTATCAATATCCTCTCAGACATGAAGCAGTTGAAGGCATTAAACCTGTGTTTGATGATCTGTTGAAAGCGGGCATGATTGTTCCATGTGCAGACTCTCCTGTGAGAACACCCATATTTACTATGTGTAAAATACGACTTGATGGCGAATCTGCAGAGTGGAGATTTGTGCAAGACCTGCAAGCTGTAAATGCTGCTGTGCAGGCCAGGGAGCCTACGGTCCCAAATCCACATACAATTCTGTCCCAAGTTCCAGCTGNCAAGACCTGCAAGCTGTAAATGCTGCTGTGCAGGCCAGGGAGCCTACGGTCCCAAATCCACATACAATTCTGTCCCAAGTTCCAGCTGATAGCAAACGGTTTTCAGTTGTTAAACTGTCAAATGTTTTTTTGACTGTTCCAGTACACCAAGAGTCAATTCTGGTTTGCATTTTGATTTGAAATTCTGCTTTGAGAGATAGTTTGGAAACTCTTTTACTGCCTAAAGGAAGTGTTTTGTTGCAGTATGTTGATGACCTGTTGATTGCGAGTGTGACCAGAGAAGATTGTGTTAAAGACACCATCGCCTTGCTGCCCTGATGGCCTGCCCTAGCTACCTTTTTCATTTCTTTGCTAAATTGACACATGGTTTGGATCACGTGTCAAAGGAGAGAATGATGAGATGAGATATGAGATATGAGATATGAGAGATGAGATGAGATATGGAGATACTGGTTTACAAGAGGGTTTTCCAGTTATGCCACAGAGTTTTGCAAAAGATGTGTGATCTGTGCTACTATACTTTATAGTATACCTTTTTATACTAATACTTTTGATCACTTGCAAATGGATTTCATTGAACTAACACCAAGCAAAGGGAAAAAGTTTGTTTTGGTGATTGTGTGCATGTTTTCAAAATGGGTTGAAGCTTTTCCCACAGCTAAACAGGATGCAGCAGCAGTGGCGAAGGCTTTGATGACTCTGATAATTTCCAGGTGGGAAATTCCATTTGGTGAGTTGGTGAGTATTGACACCATTGTGCATATCACCCAGCCTCTGGAGGGGTTTGTGAGAGAGAAAACGCAACTGTTAAAAACAAACTTGTGAAAGTGTGTGAGGAGACTAAGATGTGATGGACAAAAGCTCTTCCTATTGTGTTGATGCACATGAGGGCTAGAAGGAGGAGCAGAAATGGATTCAGTCCATTTTAGATCTTATTTGGCAGACCTCTCAATACCGGGATTGGGCCCGTTAAAAGGCAGATGCCAGACAGTGGTCACTGCGAGGATGAAATGTTACGATATTGTGCAATCTTGTCCTCTGTTTTGTCTGAAATCTACCAACAGGTGAAAGCTGCCCTGCCCAAACCAGCGGAAGGGAAGCTGCATGACCTCAATCTAGGCGACTACATTGTGGTGAGAGATCTGAGACGAAAGAACTGGAAAGCTCGCAGGTGGAACAGTCCGTTCCAGGTGAGAGAATGAATAATACACCTTCTGTCAAATTTAAAGATGATGGATGGTGACCTTTCACCTACTCATTTACCCCTCCCTTTTTGGAACCTTCTGTCAGCTAAGAGACCGTGTGTGTGTGTGTGTGTGTGTGTGTGTGTGTGTGTGTGTGTTGAGATTCGTCAATATTATGGTATTAGATCTCAGCCAAACACCAATCATTGTTGAGATCCGTCAATATGTGTTCTTAACCTTGAGCTACGGAGCACTTTTACCCGTATCATGTTTTTCTTTGAATCAATGAATCTAATCTTCTGAATCTCTTCTTAATCGTTTGGGTATTCACATCACTCCTTCCTCTTGGGGTGAACACCGAGGTGAATGGGTTTTTTTTTTCTTTATTGAAAGATAGATACAATAAAATAAAAAATAAATCACACTTAAATGTTTCTAGTAAAGAAAATAATGTAAGGGCTTTTTTTTCTTTAACAAGACTGAGGGACTTGAGAGTTGTAGCTCATTCCTGCAATGAGTCTTAAAATATCCGCATTTGTGAATGAAGAACTTTCCCAATAACACACCAGGGTGAATGTTGTGGGAGCCAGGATGTAGGGAAGGGGGGGGAAGGAGACGCGCCAGACACAATATCACGATACGGTGATGTAGTTAAAATAAATCCTCACCATCTTCTTGTTTCCCTTTCTCTTTCTCTCAAACACACACACAGCAATTAAATATTCAGTTTATTTAAACTCTTTTTGTTTGTGACATGAAAAAACACGTTAATTATATTAGTTACAGAGGGTGAAAAGATGAGTTCTAACTAAAAGTACAAAGTGTGAAAGTGCAAGCGATTCTCACCCAACATTCACCTCCACACATGCACGCAC